TTAAGTAATATACATTATTAAATAATTAACGATACATTCTAAATGATTTTAAAAGTTTAACTCAAATGCTTTATAATATAATATAAATTATTTGTATTTCATAAAGATTGAATAAATAAAATATAAAAACTTACAAGCAACCATTAAACGGGCCAAAAACATGTATGTCAATTTTTAACTTTTTAAATTGAATTATTATTTTGACTAGAAGGGTACTCGTACAATGCAGTGAGATACATCTCGATTTTAATGTATTTTTTTTGTCTCAGTCGATGTTATATACGTTTTTATGCGGTTTTGAGAAAACAATAATTTTTTTATTTTTGAATAAAATATAAATATGAAAATATCATAAAAAATGTCGAAAAAAATATTGATATTAGTATCAAACTAACTATCTAAAATTTCTCTTTTTTTGTGTATTTCTTTAATTCATTTTTTTTTATTTTTGGTTTATAATATAATTTTTTATAAAGATAATAATTAAGTATTTTGTTAGAAGTTAATGACTATCCTAATTATGTTTTAGATTTTTTATATTTAAAATGAGATGTTTATTCTCTATTTGATTATGTTTATCTGGAGTTAGTTATACAAATTCAAAGATGAAGCTTTAATAAGTTGTACTTACACACAATTTACTTGTAATCTTGAACTTTAAGTAATATGCATCAATAAATAGTATTTTATGCATAAAAAATGGTTTTTAAGAGTTTTGGTCAAATATTTTATAATATAATATAGATAATATAAATTTGATTATTATATTTAAATTTTTTATAAAAAACAACCAGAACATATCAATGCATTTTAATACATATACTCTACATACTTCATTTGTATGATGTTTTCTAAATCAAACAAAACTTTCATTAATGAGTTTTTAAATGGCATATATAGTTCATAAACCGGGATAAGATGATAGCTAAGATGTTTATGCTTATGTGTGAGCATCTCTTTTAGCTCGTCGCCTAGTAAAACAAAATAAATAAGATTCAGTTGAAGAAGTAATGTGCGATAACTTGAAACAATATCTTCAAATTCCCTGATCTCCAAAGGAATTGACAGCAACGACAACTTATTGAACGTCGAACTCAAAGATCACTGTATGATACCCAAGTGTTGGAAATTTAAGTGAGGATGGAGGTTTTCCTCTATCCACATTGGTGGGAAGACAAAAGATAAAGGACTTTATAAGTCTTTACCTACAATCGGGCCTTGAATATGTTGGTGGGTTTATTGTGGGGGTTATAAGTGGAAGGTCTGACGGGCATGGCCGAGGGCGTAGGCGTGTGGAGGCTCTTTGCACTTTATTACAGATTATGGAGATAAGTAGATAATTATTTACTAATTAAATGTTGTTATTTAGCAGTAATAATCTTTGTTTTTATCATATTAAAATTCTGAAATTTAAACTTTAAAAAACGTTTTTTTGGAGATAAATTCAGTTGGAGAATTAGTCTCCCAACTAACCCATCTTTCCCGATTCTTGTGGAGAAAGTTGGGGGATTTAGGAGTTTAATTCCAGTATAAATATCGAGTTAAATCCTCTCCTAAAATACACATAAAAGATTGATCTCTCTTCTTTTTTCTCGCTTATTCCGTGTTACATCCCTGTCATCAAAATTCTGCATCTACTTTGCTCTATTTCATTGTCATAGATGTTGACAATCGGAATACCATAACTGCATCGAATCATGAGGCTTTGCGACTTGAGACTCACAACTTTAGGAGTGGTCATATAAATTTTTTAAGGACAAGCTTATTCCATGCAGATTTTGCTACACATCGTTACCAACTTGTTGGTTTTAACTTTGTGTATTAGTTTTAATTTTTGTTCACTAAGTGAACAAATCTGCTTCTACCATTTTCTTCTATTGAATCTATCGTGAAGGATAACTTTAATTAGTGTGGTGTAATTTGGTTTGAAGTTTCTATTTCAGATTTTAAAGTTATCATCTTGATTGATAAAACTTTGAACTTTATTAGATTTATTTATCTTATGTTTATTAATAAATATTTAATCTTTATTAATAAAGGTTTAAATTTTATTGATTTCTAACTAATATAAATTATTTTTTTCAACAATCTTAAAGGTTTTATAATGGAATACGGATACGTTTTCAACTTTCGTTAAATGAATCAAGAGCTTGTGAAACTTGAATAGTTTCGACGGGGGCAATTATACCAATTGCACTATAAAGGTGAAGTTCATGCTGATGGTATTGAAACTCTACTGTGTTTGGACCCAAACCTGATACCCATTTATGGAAATCCGGTTTCCGAAAAAGGAAAAGGACCGGATAAGGTAGAATAGTCGAATTGGAGAAGTAGAGACTTATCTGCAAGAAGGAAGAAACCTTGGCCAGCGAACATATTAAAAATGTCTTGTCTGACCGGTTACTTGATTTGTTCTCCCTGATTATTGATCTAAGAGAGCTATGAAAAGCCTTGGAATTCAAGTATAAGGCACAAGAAGATGATACAAATAAATATGTTGTGTCTCAAGACTTGAGATTCCAAACGGTTGATGACAAACCAATTTTGGAACAAGTACATGAGTTTCAGGTTTTGGTAATAAATTGAAAATGCTTTCCATATCTCTTCCTGAAATCTTCCAAGTGGGGACAACCATTGATAAAATTGCCTCCATCATGGAAGGACTTTTCAAAACGAATGATGCATAAATTTGAAGATTATTCTTGGATGATCTGCTCAAACATTTGACAATCAAGGAAGAAGTTTGTAATCAGGATAAAAGAGGCAAGTCAGATTTGAATGCTAACATCGTACAGGCTGAAAGCAAACGAAAGGGAAGGGCTGGAGTTTCAACCAAAAAGTGGAATTTGGGTCCACAGAAGAAAAAGCTTCAAGAGATCGGTTAACAATCTAATCTAGGGAAACAATTTAAGATGGTAAGTAAGTGTCATGTCTATGGAGAGACGAGATACTATGCTTGTGAATGTAAGCAAAGGAAGTCTAGCCTACCAGCTGCAACCACAATTGATGGCATTCAACATCTTGTGGCAACCCAACATATGGATGAGAACGGTGTTGAGCTAAAAATGTTGTATTCATGTCATGTGCTAAAAAATAGTTTTACATTGCTTTGTAGTGTAGTCTTAATCCTTTGTAGTTAGTTTGTTTCTTTGTAATCCTTTAGTATAAATAGGATGTTTAGTTAGTTGGGGTGGTAACCTTGTGATCATAATCATTACATGAAATCTTTGAGAGCTAAACCTTTTGAGAGACACCATCTTGTGTCAAGAACTCTGTACTTCAAGAACATCAATACACATACCGAAATATTTGATCTATTCTTGTGTTATTGATCTTGATTAATTTTGTAATTATGACTTGAATCTACGCTAACAATTCATATCAGAGCAAACAAATTCGTATCTTGATTGGTTTTGGACTTGAATTAACATTGAATTCTTGAATTTTTGGATCGAAACTTTTTGTTTTAAGTTCGAAAACTGTTTTGATCAATTTGATCAAATTGGGTCGTTTTGATCTATTTTTGGTTTAATTGGTTATCAAAACTATTTATGTCATCTTTGCGAACCATTATGTGCAATTTATTTCAAGAAATTTGGAATTTTGAGCAATTTTAGTGATATGTTTGGAGTTTCTGTTCGAAGTCGTGTTCATCGCTCGTTGAATATTCATCAAGCGATATTCTTGTTGCTCATCGCCCATTGGATCTGTTTTGGATCTTCATCGCAAAAAGAAATAGAAGATACACTTATGTTGATCCTCTCTCATTAATTTGATGATAATTCATTTTACCTATCGAAGGATAGTGTTTCTGTTTATGAAGTTCCAACGATCATCACTGAGTCTGTTTAGTGATCGCTGAACATGTATTGTAACTCTCCAGTGACTCTTATACTTCAAGAAGACAAAAATCACACCAAAGAACCTTCAGCAATGTCGAAGATAGAAACTGAATATTAGAGAGTAGTGCGTTCGTGATCAGAGCGACATTCAGTGATTACAAGTTCATCAACATATGTGTGAAGACTGCACAAGTTTCGGCGAATGCTGAAGAGACCTCCAACGTCATCCCACCATTCAACGATCAAATGAAGCTTATCATGCATATTTGTTTTTGTCTTGTCCTTCCATACACTAAGGACAAACCCATTTTCTAGAGTATAGTACTGTATGGAGCCATTCAGTTGACTCTATAGTACTCACCAACTCTATGAAAAGATGTCTGCTCATGAATAGGGCTGTAAACGAACCGAACGAACATGAACGAAGGCTTGTTCGTGTTCGTTCGTTTAACTTAACCGAACAAACGAACGAACACGAACGGTAAACGAACGAAAATAATTGTGTTCGTGTTCGTTCGTTTAGAAATCCAATGTGTTCGTGTTCGTTTATGTTCGTTCGTTAACAAGTTAAATGAACGTAAACGAACGAACATAAACGAACATGCCTAAATGAACATAAATGAACATAAACGAACATAAACGAATAGTCTTAACGAACATAAACGAACATGCCTAAA